CTCCTTGAGCTCTGGGTCAGAACATTTTATTACTAGGTGGGGGTTAATCATGTTTCAAATTAAGCACTACATGTTGAGAACAGTGGGTTGTGATTCCTTTCTGTACATTTTCTTGTCTGTAAATATTATTACTGACTGTGCATAATGTGTTGACACAAAAACATCTACAAGTCTGTACTAGGAGTTGTACAGTCCACCTCCCCAATTTTACACTTGTTGCTTTTCCCAACCAAAAAGCCACTTTGCTGCTGGCTTGTTTGCTACCGGCTTCTGAATTGAATTCTCCGCTGAGCACTTTTATGGTAAGTTTTTCAATATTACTTTGATCTTAAACGTGTTTATTGAAAAATAAGGAAATTGTTTTGTGCCCATAGTAATCCTGGTTATTTTGGGGCAAAACAGTGCCCCAAAATAAATTATTATTTGTAATAATTGAGGTCATGTCTCCTTTTGTATTATTTTCATTTTACCCACCACTCCAGGCCTAAGTATGAAATCCTGTGAGATTTTGTGGGATTTGAGTTTTTAAAATAGGGTGGGGCCTATTGTTTGGTCTGGGAGAGCATGTGGTGGACAAGGAAGTGTAAGGCTGGCCGGATCCAGGTGGGCTTTAAATTGTTGTGATAGTAATCACTTGTTTTTAACTTTTTATTATGATGATGATTACATGACCGTCTGCAGCCATCAAGAAGTGCAGAAGGTTGTTAATCATCCACATATTCAATCAGGTGAGGCAGAAGGGAAACACTGAACTAAACCTGCTAATGACTGATTCAGTCTGTTGATCCTTGGATTGGTAACTGGTTAAATTGAACTGGACTATTGTTACTTTATTAGCATATAGACACTTTTTAAGGAATTTAATCAACTTATTTGGAAATATTTGTAGTTGATGGAAGATTGAACCAGCTATTTGATGGAAGTTTATTCTGTATAAATTATAATTTTTCCAACTACACTATAAATCACCTTTTGTTCGATTTATTTGTCTCTGGTGTGTTAAATAAACCTGATCCTCCCTGAGTTTTATTGTTAGGTTTTCTGATAAACAGCCCTTTATTTTAAATATTGATTTAATATCAATATCATAAATCCTACACTATACTGCAGCTTGATGGGTAAATGCAGTTGTATATGTAAACATTAAGATAAATATTAATGAAAGATTAAGATATTAATTTAACAGTGAGTGTACATGGGGAACTATATGGTTTGTATTTGTTCTCAGACCTGTAACCAGTACACTGTTTAATCTTTCAATGTCTTTCAGAACTTTTCCAATGTTTATCATATTTCTAACTGGCACCTTCCTCACTTTTATTTTTCAGCTGTTGCTCTGCAGTTTGACCGAAAGCTGACTCTTGAGGACTGCAGCAAAACTGTCAAGAAGTGGCTTCATTATGCGCCAGAATGAGAGTCAATCAAAGTGATGCCAACCAGAGTCAAACTGGGGTTACCACAACTTGTACTGTTTCCCTACTTCATAGGGAACTTCATGGACTCTGTTCTTCTGTGGACAACATACTGTTGTTTTGACAATCAAAGAGTCAAATATGTTTAAAGATCTGTCCCTCTTTTCTTAAATAAAATGTTATATCAAACCCATGTTGTCATTTTTAACCTAGTGTGTTTAACACCAGTGAAGAAACTTTTAGTGGCATGTTATGATGTAGACCTATCAGACCTAAAAATGTACATAAATCCTTACCTTTCATTCAATATAAAATCAACACAAATCTGCATGTACATCCACATTCAGATGAAGGTTGAATCAATGTTGATTCCTAACCTATTCAATGTAATAT